GAACAGACAACTATGGTACTTGCGAAGAAAATTAAGACTTGCTACGACTCCCGTTAAGCTAGCAGCATATCTTACGTTTATTCGGCCAACATTGGAATATGCCAGCATTGTGTGGGATCCCTCGGAAATCGGCCTCATTAATATGCTAGAAAGAGTACAAAGGCGAGCTGCCAGGTTTATTCTTTCAAAGTACTCCTCGACTGAGTCATTAACAGAAATGCTACGCTCTCTTCAACTGCCCACTTTAGCCGAACGACGGCAATTTGCAAGGATAAAGTTCTTGTTTTTATTGTCGAAAAGTAAATTTAACATAAACACAACAAAATACCTAACGCCATGCCGCGGAAGAAACCAAAGTAGTGTAAACGATTACACATGCGAAGTGCCGCAACAGCGTGTCAATGTATATGCATGCGAATTCATTTTTTCCCAAAACAATTCGTCAGTGGAATGCTTTGCCATTACCACTGGTTCATTGTGACTCACTGGATAAATTTGAGAAAGGGCTCAAAGATATTTTTCTGTAAGCATGGTCTACTATGTTAATTTATTGCAATTTGTTTGTATGCTTACTACGACTGCACTGTTTTTCCTTTAGCCTCAATGCCGGTGTTTCCAATGTATGTCATGTAACATTTACAAATTCAAGTGTTGCTGTTTAAATTGCTGTATGATGTGAATGTATTGATATTTGTCACTCTTAGTATGTCCCACCCCTGTAACAGCCAAAAGACTAACAGTATTCGGAAAAATAAATATATAAAAAATAAAAATACTAGCCAGTTTTTAAGTTGTCCCTCTGAGCGAAATATTTTCAGTAGAGAAGTTGTAGAGCCAGGCTCAATACTAATCATATCCGAGGAATTTCCTAAAAAGTGGGGCACATCAAGGGTACGGGCTGTCAAGCGTTCTCGTATGCTGTGATCGTGTGCTGTTCTGGTCGCTTGGCGTAACCCAGGCCAAATGTAGCATAGCCAACTGTATCATACTGAGCGCGCGCTTGCGCCGAAGAGAAGTATTCTTTCTCTCGATCTTCGGGTAACTAGATCAATCAATCAATCAAACTTTATTTCAGGAATGCATACATTTACATGAATAAAATTCTACAGTACAGAGGAGGTCCCGAAGTTAGAAAACTGTCGGGGAGACCTCCGTTAGAGAATAAGTCAAGCGCGATAACAATGCAGCAAGCAGTGAAAAACACTTTGTACGAATTAAACAAAGAATGGTTAAAATTTCATAACAACAAGATAAGTGACATTAGGTGCGGTAGCTGCTACTATGGCTCGGAAAACGCGGCAACATAAATGCGAATAAAAATTAAAACAGGAAGCAATGGAGAAATAGAAAAAGACAAAAGAAAATTAGAAGAAAAATAACAATAAATAGAAAGTGAGAGAGAATAATACTGCAAAAAAAAACAAATTGAATAGGGATCATGAGAGAGAGAAAGGAAGAAAGGAGAGAAAACCGAAGAGGAATCGTCTACAGAGCTCGGCACCTCCGTCAGGCTTCACCCCACATCAGGGCACAGCTTACCAATTATTATTAGTAGTTTGTTTTCATAATAACTGCTGCTAAAGCTTAAGCTTCTTCGGGCTGCAAAGAAAGCGAGATTTTAAGATTGGTCGCATAAGTAGTTGCTTGAGCGCACCCGCAATCGCAAGAATGTGCGATGCACGAGAGACAGACATTAACTCGGTCAACGCAAAGGATGAAATGCTCTCAGCAAAACAGCCCCCCCCCCCCTTTTTTTAATTCTCTTTGTTTATTTCTTTCTTTGTTTTGATCAAAAATAAATTTACAGTCTGTAGACTGTCTAAAAATTGATTGAGACGGCCTGCAGCCTGTCTAAATCCATTTTTGTGCTATCTGCGGCGGCAATCACCCTGCGTTCCAATGTACTCGCTTACGGCTCCACTTTCAAAAAGGGGCTTGAAGCTTCGCACGGACGTGGTGAAGAAACATGTAAATTTGTTTTGGTCATTTATTTATTTATTTATTTATTTATTTATTTATTTATTTATTTATTTGGGAGGGATCGTCCGACGTGAATATCCTGTCATTACCTTTTTTTTTTTTTTGTCCCTCGTGTGGTTCCAACTCACGAAATCGCTCTGCAATAGACCAATGGAGACAAACGCGCTCGCGGCGAGAGAGCGACGCACACTTTCCGCGACAAGCCGTGCTCTCACCCCCAGGGTCAGCACGCCTAAACAGCGTACAGAGCGAGAGTCGGCCGGGTCACGCATTGAGTCGCTATATCGGCCATGCAAGACTGTCTCGCTACTGCTGGCGCGCGATTCGCGGTACTGGAGGAATTGAGCGGAACAGGTCAGCGATGCCGGGCGCAGGTAACTGGACCGCGGCGAGTGCATTCTACCGGCGGCATCCGAGCGGGCCGCGGCTCTCGGTGGCTGTTTGTGTCGTGGTGCTCGCCGCTTTTGCTGCTGCCGCGGCAAGAAGAGGGCTGAACATGGAAAGGGCGGCCCGCGCGCCGAGGCCTGCGGGATTGGCGCGCCAAAGGGGGGCCGCTGTCAGCGCCAGGCGGCCATGGCTGCCGGCGTTCGTGACAGCGACCGACGCGGGCGCCTTCGCCGCTCGTGTCTCGCCCCCCTCCTGCAGCTACCGCGTCACTCCCTCTCCGAAGAAGACGAGAACCGAGTTGCCACTTGTCGATAGTCGGAACGGTCACGCGCATTGCGCCGCGTCTGCGCGCCGTCGCTCAGGCGCGGCCAGTCACCGCTCCGGGCGCTTGATTGCCCGCGGAGAAAGAACACGAGGTGTCGCGGTATATCCGCGCGCCACATGACTGAGCCCACCGCTCCTAAATTTCGAAATTGGGTGGGGGTCCGGATCTCTGTCGCAAAGCACATTTTCGCTTTATCTTAATTTTTCATACTTCTGCTTATTTGCCTGTTTGTGATGTCGAAACAAGGGTCGTCCCCGAAAGGGCGAAAGTTTCGTTTCGTTGGGCAACTACTCAAGTTCATGGAACAGCTTCTCTTGAGTTTTCTTTTCCTTCAAACTCTCTCGGACTGTTCTTGATTGCAGCCACGCTGTTGACATAGGACGATCTATACCCTGCTTGTACCATAATGTTAGTAAAAAAAGGGGGAAGGATGGAATGGTCGTGATTGAGCAGCCAATAGCTGCCTGGCCCGTCGCAACGTCGTGTCACAACGTGATGTCTAGCTTTGTGTAGCAAAAGTATAAGAATGAGCAATCACAACCTCACAAGTTGCTCAAGCATTTTCCTTGACATACAATTGGTGTGTTAATGTTGCCTCACAACAACAACAATAATAATAATAATAATAATAATAATAATAATAATAATAATAATAATAATAATAATAATAATAATAATTATTATTATTATTATTATTCCTTAGAAATAACCGTTTCTACTTACCTTTGAGATACGTAATGTCACGCAATCTATTACTGTCGCTTTTATTTTCAGTCACGTGTTACCTCCTCGGTAAGATCTAAAAAATAATTTACTTTCGCAGTTTTCTGCAAATGACAGCGACACTATGCATCTTTTGTACATTATTGGAAACATTTCGGCGCGCACACAACAGACAAAATACGAAAGGCGAGAAGACAAGCAGGCGCTTCTCACCTTTTGTTCTTTTTGTTTCTTGTGTGCACGCCGAAATGTTTCCAATAATGTCATCAAACCAACTCACACAGCTTTCCATAATATTGCATCTTCCGTAGTTCTTGGGTGGTCACTCAAGCTATAGCTAGTAAACAGTGTGGTCTAAGTTTTAGGGGCGAAGATACTTAAGGCGTAGGCCTGTCCGCCGTCGTAGCCAGCACTAGTACTCGGAGTGCTCACGAGATGGCGATGGCGCCGCTGCGCTCGCTCTCGTGACTCTAATGCGTAGGAAACAGACAGACAGATGACGGACGGACAGATGGACGGCTATCTTGGTGATGTACTGGGCAAGATTGGATTCACAGTTTTACCGCTGAATCCCCGGAGCTTCGCCTACACATCATCAATCATTCCGTGGATATGCTGTGATTTTTTTTTTTTTTTGCGGGCGCTATGAAACAACATCGGCTGCTCTGGTGGACATGGCACTCAGCTGCGGGGTTGAACGTCGATCTTCGTAGTTCGTTCACTGCTGCTGTATTCCGTCGGTGTTAGAATAAAAGGGGCTCGTCTATCACAAATTCGGTAGACGTAAAAGAAGCTCAGTAAGTCCAACTGAATGTTTATCCCTGAACTGCTCTGTAGCCAGTCGTTCGGCAACCACAACTTAACACAGGTAAGGCATCCAAGTGTGGAGGCGTAATGCAGCCGTCCACGTGTTCCGCCATGGTGGCCGGCCTAACCAGTCACCGTGCATCAAGTATCCCTGCGAACAACCGCGTTAATGTCTTGCTGCCGTGGCATTGCAATAAATAAGAACAAATGATAAATACGTACGAATAGGTATTTCTTTATCTTGAAATCGTACAAAGAAACAACGGTGCACAAGAGATTACGTGTTTTGCATGCCACTATTTGTTGCAAAAATATAAAATGAGCTTTAAGTTAGAGACGAAAACATGGCGCTTTTGTGTGTGTTTGTGTGTGGCAAAAAATAAAAAAGCCTTTTTCTCGAGCTATAATCATCAGCACTTGAGTGCTCTTCAGCTCCTGTTGTATTTGTGTATTCCTTATTTTGTTTGCGGTTAAAAATGTTTGTTATGATGATCAATTTATCAAGTATATTATGATTGTCTTAGTTTTTGAGCATGTCTTCTTCCACAGGAAGAAGACATGCTCAAAAACTCATGCTTTTTGTTACCACGCATTTCTCCATTTGTCTCGGAGTGACGAAGTGGTATCGTATTAACTCGACGAGTAAAGGAATGCACATATTCTTTGCTTCTGTCGTGTCCCAAGCTTGTCTGGGAAGATCTCACCTACGCCTACACTGTACGAGTATGGTCCATACGAGATGTGGGTAGGAGAAAAAAACTGAGCCCAAAAGACATCGTTCATTTCAACAGCAGTTTTATATCTACGCATTCACACTCTACTTACAAATCTCCGCGCATTTCGCACGCGGAGACAGCAGAAGCCACTCGCTTCGCACTTCATCGCAATCCTCACCATGAAAAATGGCACAATTATACAAGAAAAATAAAAGGAAACAACACTCAAGTGCTGCATGGAACAACGTTGACGCGGTGTTCACAAGTCTAAATGGACTTCTGGCGTAGCCAAAACTACTCCAGAGTATCAATCTGCAGGACGTAGACTATGAAGTATGGACTGCATGCAAAGACACGGGATCATTGCACAAGTAAAACACTACAGTGAATGCTTCGCTGGACTTGCCAAAACTGGGTGCCCTTCCATGAAGCAGAGGTAGCGCCCTAGACACCATGGCTTCTTTGGCGTAAGAGAACGCCAAGGGCGTCTCTCACAATGACTAGAACTCTGTAGTAGCCTGACTGCGAATCATCGCGTTAAACGAACAGTTTAATCCAATCGCATCAGGGTGCCATTCCGCTCCTTTGCACGCAGTCAGTTTCAGCACCCAACGAGACGCCACGATTCCCGCGAGATTCTGAGTACAAAGCAGATTGTTAGCGCCACACGGCGGAGTAAATACAGGTAACTCTGGTTCGTGAGTAATCGGAAACAAATATGATACTTGCTGAAAATGCAGACATGGAGTATAATAGAAAGAAAACACAGTTTTTTAACAGAAACGCGCGCACGCATTTGTATTCGAAACCAAGCAGTGCAATTCATATTAGTGAACCTTTGACTAGGTCAGTGTTTACGTACCAAGCATTGTTCATTTTTATGTACGCCTCGTGCCGTTGCAGAGTCATGTACTGTTGTATTGGCGTGTCTCTCTTTCCAACTGCTACTGTATTGTTTTACCATAGTGCCTTCTTATTACTTGAACCAGCGTATTAGCTTTCGAACTACTCTTGAACCTACAGCCGCTGCCATCACTCAACCGGTCAAAGTTGAGCGAAGACGAGGTACGCATGATAAAAGCTGACTTCATTAAGTTCAGGCACCAACAAAACTTAATAACTTTTATCATAAAAAACAAACAAAACAACCAAGGAACCTCGCAGGTATATAGCACTAGTACTTTATTTTTTCCCTTTGAACCTCTAATAAATTAACTGAGAAACTTCTAATGGGTATCAGCGATCACATTAAACTTTTTCAGAGCTGATTGTACACATGAAACTGACCTACTTTGCTGCAGTTTTGGGCGCTTTTCAGTGATGTGCTCTTGGGCGTTAACGATAAGTCATCATGGCCACCATATTATTGTTTCATGTGTTGGTGGCTTGGTGGTAATAGAAGAGCTGCCGTATCGGTGATTCTCTCTTTTAACAAAGTGGAAGGGTTATTTGACACGGTACGGTGCTTTAACATATGCGACAGTACACTTTCTTTAGAGGAACTGCATTATCACGCACAACGTTTTGTTACTCTTCTACTTGTTAGCCTATAGGGCTCTCTGATACTCCCGACATTCAGCTCAGAGTTATGTAGGAAGACAGAACCTCAGTGAAACAAACGTAATTTCTCTCAGGAAGCTTTGTGCTGCTATGTTCATCTTCATTGTTCTGTTACCTTTTGAAAATTCTTCAAGCCAGGACAATGAAAAATATTTTGCACGAAATGATTTCAGAATATGCAGTTCAGAAGGTGCAGGTCTGTGCTCTTTTCCTTCTTGTCCTTTTTTTTTTTTGCAAAATGTCATCCACAATGGAATACCAACTCACCCAACTCTCGGTTCTTCTATGCATTTCCGGTACGCGCCTTGATAACAGTAATTGCGTAAAGTATTGGCAAAGTGCTGTGTGAGAAAAAAATGACAAAAATATGATATATTGCACAATGAACAAAGTTTACAACCGGATTTGGCGCGATTAAATCGCAAGGTGTATCACCGAGATCAAGCGAAAAAAAGAAACGAACACTGGAGTATCTACTAGATGCACAAAACTTAAATCACCGAGTCTCTCTTAACACAAATATATTCTCAACGACAATTAAAAATGGTACGTAGCATGGCATGAGTGACTTCAAATAAGAGAGAGAGAGAAATACAGACGCACGAACAATCAACTGAATAGCTATTCGTTTCTATATACACTCTTCGTCAGGATCAATTCTTGCTACTATGGACGAGTGCCCAGAAACTTGTTCGCACATTCTCTCTAGTCCACGTTGTATTGTGTTCGCGTTTGTGATCTGATAGCACGATGCAGCCGAAGAGGTTCATCGGGATGCGCTGAATCGCTTCCTATATTTCCATCTATTTCCCGCGAGGCACGCATGACCATACGAACATGCCAGATATGCGCCAAACGGAGGACGAAAGCCTGGCCAAGTTTTATGTTCCACTCAGGCTCAATGCTGGTAGGCACCGAACAGTAGGCGACTGTCTTCGTTCAACCTTTGCTAGGATAACTGTATTTGCTACGATGTGTGATCTTCCCGCAAGATATTGCATTGATACGAATTTCATAACTCACGCAATATTAAGCGCACACTATACGGATTAAACGCACGCGCTATTATGGTTTCTCTCATCGTAATATTATTTTTATGTGACCAGAGACTTTATTTTTGAATGCAGGTAATTGTCGATTTGTTAGCAGACATGCGAGTAAAGCGGGATTCTTGCAGAACTTAGCTTATTAAACGTTCCTTCATTTCGAGTTGCCAATCGATTTCATATCGCACCACTACAATACGGGAACCTAGATGAAGTCATGTGGACATTGTTTTATTGTTTCCTGCCAATTTCAAGCGAATAACAATTTTTCGATTTCACAGTATGCGTCTTCTTGCCTGCTCCATTACCAGGCACTGATCCACACTGTTAACACTAGCGTTTCAAGAAAAATCACAATATCAGCGATAGCTGGACTGCTTGGCTTGATTTGCTCTGTGTTTGGAGCGGTTCGCTAGAACAATCAGCTCAATATACAATGAATGGCTAATGCCAGGCTAACTGCTCGCGACCGTGTCATCTACCCTCGAGGAAAGTTTGTTCACTCCATTCGTCGTGAGTGGTTTCCTGAAAGTCCAGAATCATCCTTCGCGGGAAGTTCCTCAAAGCTTTCAGAATTCGCTTTCTTTTCACGCCCCCTATCATACACAACAGGCTTTCGTATATTTTGAATCTTTGCGAACCGAATGTTACCAAGACGAACCAAGTACGTTACGTCGCCACCAGCAAGCAGACCGCAATTTCTCTCTACACACCAGTAGTAAAAAAATAAGCTCGACTAACGACACTCATCGCGGTACTTTTTCCAGCGCGTATCGTGTGCTACATATTTACATATTTATATATATATCTGTTATATCTGCAAATAAATACGCGATTCTCGACACACATTCAAGAATGCAGTATATGGCAAGGACGACTGTTCTTTAGAAATACAAAACAAAATTAAACATCATCGATGGCTAATATGAAGGCCTGACCCAGTAAATGTCTCTAAACAACACTCACTCGGCACTTCGACCTTTTGTCCAACTGCGCCAGCCTGATGCCTGGCGGCTCAAAGAGAGTGCAACTTGCGCGACGGCTAACACGAGTCACCCGTTTAAAATGACGTTATGAGGAGACATGGGAACCAGTAGTAATATACGGACAACGCTGACTCTAAACACGCACACACGACGCAACAGGTGAGCTTCAAGTAACTCCGAGGCCGCTATATCAGCAATCAGCCAATGCTACGAGTATTTCCAGATGAAACTTCAACTTCGTATTTTCCATTCACCGTTTAGCGCAACGTTGTATTTTGTCACGTCCTGTCATAAATGAACAGGGATAGCGCAAAACATTTAGCCGCTACTCATTGAGAGAAAAATCTGAGTACATGATAAACTTAGCCTGCTTAAACTAATTCTTCATGTCCAATAAGAAATGGCTAGTAAACTTTCAATAAAGCGCGTTAAAAGAAGGCAGAAAGTGGTTCGTTAGTTAACAGGGAAGTAAGCAAGAACGTGGTTCCTTGACAGCGATATTGAAATCTTGATTAAGCTTGAGACTATATTCCGCCTCTGTTCAGCGACTCGCCGTAAATCTCTCGTGTTCGAGAGATTCATGCCCCCGGTGAGGTTGTTTCTCACGCGCTAGTTACATCATTCGCAAACACCTGCCCTGCAGATAGCATGAGTCGTGTGTAAATACCCTGTGAGACTCCAAGCGCCTTGCCTCGCAATCAAAGGCAAGGGCACATGAGAAAATGTAATTACATACAAGCTTGAACAGTTCCTCCTTAATATGTAAAGTGCACGGCTGGGCCAAAATATTTAGAAACGAGGATAACACTTTCTTATTACTATCATAGCTTTTACCGCAGCATCTCGCTCGCTTACGTTTGTGGAACATTAACTGCAGATATCCTACGTGCCGAAAAGAAGCAGAATGTTCATGCTCTCCTTAAACCATGCCATTTTACTCAACCGGCATAAGTGAGAAGCAGCCTATTTTCCGTACCGAATGGAATACTTTGCAGCGCTGCTAGTATTCCATTTGTGACCTTTAAAGCAGGATTATGACGAAATCTATTGACGATTTACATGTAACTGTCACTAAAGGAACTGTCAACCACGCAGAAGCCAAAGCAAAGCGTTTGAAAGTGAGTGCGTTCATTTCTTTAAGGTATTCCCGTTAAGTTGTTGCCGAAAGAATGTATTTCTGCGTACACCCAAAGCCCTTCAGAACTAAGGAGAAAGCGCACTGCCTGAATGTTTTTTGCTTCCGCTTTCGAAGGCAGAAAATCAACGCACTTTATACAATCACGCAATAATTGATGACATCATCGCTCAATACGGTGAAACGCGAGTGATCTCGACTCGAGCGCTGTACAAAGTCGGCGAAAACATGCTTACAATAGTGCTGATAGTGTGATTATATGTGAGTATGACTAACGGAAGTGATTTTATTGGAACGGACAGCGTCGTCAACTGTTGACGGTTTTACCCCTTGCCCTAACCCTCGCACAAAACAGAACCGAAACTCTTTCTAGAGGCAGTACATGTTGTTCAGGAAGGTGCGCTCACCCCAACCTCTAGTTTGGCGTTTGTTAGATAGTACCGGCTTTATAAAAACTCGTTTAACAGCGGGTCACGTGCAAGACTTCCTGCGTCAGTCCAGTATTTGTAGAAGACATGTCTACATTATTCCACGCTCAAGAATATGGCACCGAGTATTGGTATCGCCATTTTCTCATGCAAGTGTCAATGGTACAGATCTTCGTTCATATGACGCAGGTCCGTTTATTTCGTGCACGTTGAGTGTAACGCTATAATGAAGACCCCTAAATGGTCATCAGACGTGTTTGCGGCAGCTTATAGCATCAAGGACCCCCAACCAATGGCTCAAAACAAAGTGCTGGTTCTGATTATATGCATCTTCTGCAAGTCACAGCCTCTAACTATCTCATATTTCATTTAAGTTACATAAATTAAATGATGTTACAATTACTGGAAAGCATGATTGACAACAATTTGCATTGTTTCGCTCATATTTGCACTTAACGAAGTCATTAAGCTTCAATACGCGTATGGAAAGTGCATAACTTGATCTTTTAAAACGATTACGAGTGGCTCAATAGAGCTGAAAAGGATAAAGTATGACCGGTCTTCTACCAATTAATGAACCCTAATAAAAAGTTGGCCGTGAGGCCTAATACAGATATCATTCACGCCGAAGAAATCTATAATTTTTTTTCAGATAAGTATACACATCGGTAGTACAGGATGGCCCCAATACTCCACTTAGAAATAGCTATATGCGGGTAATGGTGCATTTCACGGCTATTTAGGCCGAGTACTTAACAACCGATAGCGAGATAAGAAATGATCTTGAAGAAGCACTGTCGTTCCCTTAAATTTACCGATGATTTATTCGTCTTGGATCATAAATTGGCGACTGTACTTCCTGGACTCCTTCGCTAAAAATACCTCCAGGTTCGCGATAGGCTGAAATTTGAACATACGAACCATTATGACGTTGTTGCATGACCCCTCGGTTCTCTCCAAAATGCCAAGATGTATTGAGTATGCTCTCTTTCTCTTTGTATCACCTTTGTATTTCTAATTAGTTGAGCAACAGCAGAACTCTCAAATCTGCGTTACTTTACAAAAAAGAAAACGCTTAACGCTGTGTTAGCTTACAGATAAAAATAATGCTCTTTTAATCAAAACGGAGCTGTGCTAAAAAAACTAAGTAGTTTTGATAATGCGCGAAGAAGTCATTACACATTTCACTTTAGAATGAAGCAGCGCAAACAGCGAAGACAACGAAAAAAAAACAACCTTACTCGCGACATTTTAGGTGACCTTGCTACAAGACAATAAACTCTCGAAACAGCGCTATTTTGTGGCACTTCGGCCGATCCTTTCGACATGTTATTTAAACCGGGTTGTCAAAGCTTTCGCATTCGCGAATATTTCAATGACCGGTGTGCTTCAGTTATCGCATGTTCAAGTGAGTGCGCCTATGCATGGCTACACTGTCGTACTGAATATTGCCAAGCCGTCAGCCGCTATATCAGACAATACTGATGTGCCGTACGCTGTAAGACTATGAGCGAAACAAAGCAATATATTGACAAAAGAGTGTTGAAAAATAGGGAAAGATTTTTTCCAAACCTTAAACGGCATCTTCACATCGAAATAGTGTGGCGCCGCTGTTTCAACACGTAATCGTTTCCCAGTCGCATTTTCAATAAGTTGCTTCGCTTCGGAAATTCGTACCTTACCAAACAGAAGATAATACAATGCTTCAAACAAGCAGGTCAAATATGCGTCGAGCACGTTGAGAAGTTAATTGTTTAGCGTGTCGCGTTAAATGGCTCGCATTTCCCATTTGCCAAAGGCGGTAACTGGCAAGCAATTTATATTTGCCAACTTTTTAAGAAAAGTTAGTTGCCAACAACTGTTTGTTAATCCATGTGAGCGTGCTATCTCGCTATAGAGCCAACTTCTTGTGACGTTAATCAGTGGCAGGAGCGGTGACTTCAAGCAGAATAAACCAACTGAATCATTTGCTCTCGTGGTGATCTGTTAAAAAATAAATAGCTTGTGAAACATGGTAGTTAATGGCACACTCTTGCACATTGTCTTCCTTCAGCCTTTGAAGTGGAAAGAAAAAAAATGCGCCAGGGCCGATCGCGATCACTGTGGTTGTTGAAAGCGTCATCATCTCGACTCCCATTCCAGGTTGCAACGGTACCGGCTCGTCATCCGTCGCATCTACCCTCACATGGCATTAGAAGACAGTTCGTCTCTCCCCGTTCCCGCGGTGCCCTTCGGAGCTGTCCTGGCCAGAGGTCGGCAACGCGGGATTTTCACCTTCCGGGGAAGACGTGGCCACCAGCGCCATGTGCAGCGTCACCCTACACTTTGTCGTCACAGGCGACAATCCTGGCGGGGACCCGACGAGCGAGTGCACCACGGGTGGAGAAGGCAATCAGCCAGAGCGAGCACCCCGAATAAGCAAGCTCTAGTCTCGGCTCGCGGGTCACTGTTCCACCTGCCCGCTGTCCTGAAACTTGTCCGTTTCGTCACAAACCAACACTGTCGCCGACCTTGGGCTGGGGACGATGCCGAAGCCATCGCCGTGCTGCTTGGCGGCGGATGCCACTCCCGTTCGGGACGTCAGCTCGGCGGTGGCTTCCCGGAACGGCCGCTGCTCGGCGCTAAGACTCGGGGAGGACTCTCTGCACGCGGCGTCCACACCGTCCGAGCTGAGGGCCGCGGTGCCATTCTCCATCTTGTCCATGTCGGACGAGGGCGGGTAGTGCTGCGAGCTGTCGTCAGTTCGGTCGCCCGAAGAAGAAAGGTTGCTGAGATCACTGACGCCGCACGGAGACGGCTTGGCAGAGCTGGTTCCAGAGAAGCTGTGGTGGTTCACGCTAAGCGCGGACGAGCTGTTGCTGCCGGCAGCTGGAAGCAGCGGGCTTCCGGCACCGCCAGCTGCCTTGGTCAGGCCTAGTGGCTGTTCACTGGACGAGACCTTGGCAGCGGCTGCGGCGCCCTTAGCCTTGGCTGCCTTCTCGCCGATCTTCAGCTCGGCCGCCTCGGCATTGGAGATGCCGTCCTGCTTCTTCCACTTCGTGCGCCGGTTTTGGAACCAGATCTTCACCTGCACCACAAAGAACAGAGCAAAACAACTCAGTCAAACTTTCACATCGAATTCTAGATCTATAATGCTCTCGCGATACGCATTTTGCCTAAAGCCGATCAATGACGTAGAACAACCTGAGTATTTTTTTTTACTGAGCGAAGAGCAGAGTTCGTTGCCCTTTATTGTTTCTCTTTATTCTTTTCCTTCTCTCCTTTTCTTTCATTTCTTTTTTGCATCTGCTTCTTTCTATTTCTTTCTTGCTTTTTCTATCTTTCTTTCTCTTTGTTTTTGTCTGCTGATTTCTATCTCTTGGTTTCGCGTCATTTCTGTCTTTCTCTTTCTGTCTGGCACTGTTCTTTTTTATCCCTTTTGGCGTTTGTTTCTTTCTTTCTATGTCTTTTCCCGAATACTCTGTTTTTCTCGTTCTTTACTTCTATTACTTTCTTTTTCTCTGCCATCTCTCTATTCTCTCTTTTCGAAGTGGAGGATATGTTTCATCCACTTCGCTGGGCAGAGTTCCCGTTTAACGCTCACACCTGCTGTAGTCTTCAGTGGGGCTTGCCAAATTCTTCTAGCAGTTACCCCCCAGTGGTCTGCGGACACTATAAAGTTTTGAGTACTTTCGTAAACAACTCCACCATTGATAAAAAAAACGCCAGGCCTGCGCTGAAGGCGCAGCACAGTCACAGTGAAAGCTGGAAGAGCGGCCTTTCAGAGGCATTTCTAAACACTCATTGGACAACTGCTGCAAGCACACTTGCTTGATACCCACTAGGGCATTAATAATGAATTTTGTTGGGTAGTAGGCAAGCATCCACTATGCTATATTTCGTCGTTCTTCTGAGAAGCGTTGTATCCGAACACTGGCAAGGAATTGAATGCCAATTGTTCATGCAGTGGCTGACGACGATCATTAAACCTATACATATCGATGGCTGACGACGATGAGGAATTATGGTTGAAGTGGGTATGCGCCACAGTTAATAAGGGAACAAGAACAACCTTTCCTTTTTATGTATGTATGTATGTATGTATGTATGTATGTATGTATGTATGTATGTATGTATGTATGTATGTATGTATGTATGTATGTATGTATGTATGTATGTATGTATGTACGTATGTATGTATGTGACAACTTATATTTCCACTTTTGCCAGCTGCCCACTACTTCGTCTTTGCAAACATCTCACCACGCCATATCACCGACCATGAAGCAAATACTGTTGAGAAGTAGCCAATATGAAATGCAAGATGGTCGCGTACTTGTATCCAGGTGCGCGTTAAAGAACCATACATTGTCATACAGTGTCCAATGCTTGCTCGTAGGTGACCACCTATAGTTCCACCTTTGCAAACTGCCCACTACTTCGTCCTTGCAAACATCCCACTACGCCCCATCACCAATCCACCACTTCACCGACCATAAAGCTGTTATAATGAAGGGGGGACGGAAGTGACGTATAGCTACCACTTACGAATCGTAGAATTTCTTGCATAAATATATACAGTATTTGTATATATAACCCTCCAGCGCTTCGCCCCACTCATCATCATTCACTCCGTGGATATGCTGTCATTTGTTTTTCTAATTTCGCGCGACATGGTTACGGGCACCGGCGGCAACGGCGGACAACTGCACGTGACCCGAGTTGTGATCTCATAACAGCACTCGCTGTAAAACGAGAATTAAGATTTGTACGCGAACTGCGATGTGTATTAATGAGCGTTGTGTATAAATGTGCCCCCTTGTGGAGACAAGACAGCCGACAATAAATTAACTATATGTTATCATTTGGCAATGCACTGACACTCAAGGATCTCTACCTGTCTCAAACGTGGCCTCGGGCCTAGCTTATCGCTGATGATCGATTGATTTGTGGGGTTTAACGCCCCAAAATTACCACAAGATATTTAGAGACGCCGTAGTGAAGGACTCCAGAAATTTCGAGCACGTGGGGTTCTTTGACATGCACCCAAATTTGATTACAAGGGCCTGCAGCATTTTCATCTCCATCAAAAATGAAGCCGTCGCAGTCGGGATTTGATCCCGCTACCTGAGGGTCAGCAGCCGAGTACCTCAGCCACTAGACCACCGCGGCGGGGCGGCCTAGCTTATCGCGGAACGATCGGACGCCCTCTTTCCCTGACGAGTAGCAGTTTTAGCGGCGCATCATGTGTTCGTATCTAGAGTGAAGACCTAATTTTCAACGAAGATGCACAGCGTTTTAAATAACGCAGTGCATTTGAAGCCATTTTCGCTAGCTCTATCACGTCTCAACAAAGGACCTCTCAGGTTGCTATTAAGGTAGTTCGCGGTCATTTGAACTCATGTGTTACTCAGGCGACTTTACAATGTGTTAATAATAAGAGAAGGTAATTAGGCTATATTGGGCAATTGTATAAACACTGATTTATGACATGGCTACAACGCCTATCATCATACAATGATAACCATTCACCTGTAGCTTTACATTTTTTTCTAATTTGTTTGATTTTATTCGTCACCAATAATAAATTTTGATGGCTTGCTTGTTGGCATTTTCTTTAATCTCTAACGGAAATTAACACCTTTGAGCATCTTTTGCCCGTTTTTTTGAGAACGCCTTCACAAAGTATATTATTAGAAGAGGCGAATATAGGGTTCAGCAAGGTTCTTAAGTCACGGTCATCAGATGAATTACCTGGAAGCATCTTACTTCGTGTCATTCAAGCTCTAACATGCACCCGTACGGGATCTAGACAACGAATGAATATTCTGACATTGCCTCGCGAAGTGGCACTCATCCTTGAAAACTTGAATGCTCTCGGATGTATGAGAACCTACGAACCTCGAGTAACTTCGAGGCTGCTATAAGAACCAAAAAAAAAAGTGTAGCAGCATGTTTTACAGTACGTTACGTTTGGAGGCGAAAGCCTGCTGCACACTTGGCTGTGCAAGAAGTTGAACCATCGAAGACCATACGTCGTGCAAGACACATGGAGCCGCAGTGAGAGACACGCAATAAGTTAGCTGGACGTTGTCATTTTATTGCGATCATCCCGGCCCCCTTTTTGAAACTTTCTGCACCTCACATGGTGTTCGCACTACGTCTGTGACAGGCCCACCTTTCATCAAGCGATCGTGCAGCGTGATGACGTCGTTGCATGGCGTCATTGTGTGACGTCACACAATCTTGCGATCTGTGACATTTCTAGTACGATTATATTTCCGCAGTCCGTGACGCCATAGTGTGACCCCCTCAAGTAATGTAACACCGCGGCGTCTTCAGCGGTGTTGGTCGCGTCGGTTTTTGGACCCCTTTCATTCGCCTGCGGTGTTTTGCGCACAGTGAGAGGTGCTCAACGAGACAGCTAAGAAAAAATTCAGTATGTTTGTTAACACGAAATCTTAAGTGTGTTCTACAAGGTCGTGTACACGCACGTAACACACAGTGAAAGCTGTAGGTAACAGTATAATAAAGCGGTTAGGTTTATGAGTATTAACGTCCGAAAGTTACTCGGGTTATGAGAGACGTCGTATAGTGTGGGTTTCGGATAACTTTGGCCACCTGGGCTTCTTTAAGGTGCACTAACATCGTACAGTACGAGAGGCTTTAGTATTTTGCCTCTATCGAATTGCTACCACCATGGACAGGGTCAAACCCACATGTTTCGGGATAACGGCCAAGCATCGTATCCAATGATCCAACGTGACGGCAAATGAAAAGAACATTAATGAAACAGCTACGCAACATTCCTGCAGCCAACAGATCTAAAATGACGCTTGCTTGCTCTCTACTGAAAGGACGTTTCAGCCAGCAAATCAAGCAATCATAATGACTTACGGTTAATGCAGCAAGTGCATATATAACTATATAATTATTCTCGCAATACCATGAAATCGCGGATTTCGAAGCCTCACCAAACAATGTTCTGAAGGTTCTATACAATGATTTCATATTCGGGTGTCTGGAAATGTTGCGGTTTCCAACCGTGTTAGTTTGGCACGCGCCTAACTTAGTACTTTCAAGAGACAACAGCTCTTGGTGCGCTTATTTTTAAACTGCGGCGCGTGAAATGTATCTGTGTTGATATTCTGCAAGAGTATTCTCAAATGCGTGTCCGTTTGAGCGCACGCTCATTGCATAGAGCTCAAGACCCGGCGAACCAGCGCAGATCACCACTAGCGGCTCTCGAGTCTGTTCAAATTAGTGTGCACCCAAACAGACAGACTACTTAGTGGACTCTTACAGAGCACCGTCCCTGGTTCTAGTCTCGGTAGATGGTGCCGCAAAGGATCGCCTACGGATCTATGCGTGCTGTGTATGTCGGCGGAAAGTGCACAATCGGGGGCGCTTCTTTGGCCATGGTGTGCTCTTCATGGTTCGCTGCCGCTTCATGGGTCGCTACTTAGTCCGACCAAATGGAGTTGTGCAGCCCGATGCGGCAGCTGAAAGCCATGCTTGCTCAGAACTACACGCAATTGAGAAGTCAACAGTAGGTGCATTAAACGTTTAGCAAACGTGAAAACAGGATACCTAGATGAAATTATGCGTACATTCTATAAAATGCGTAAAAGCCGTAGCAAATGCCGACTCCACGCCCAAATACCTCAGGCTTTCGACGTAAAGGTCATGCGAAGACTATCGTTTCTCCAAGTGGGGGGGGGGGGAGCAACGTTTGCGACAGATTACTGTCGTAAGACACAGGTGGCGTCCGGCGTCATACGATCAACAGATATATGTGTTATTCGGCGGAGTCTTCAACGCGTGTCTAGAAAGAGGCGCATGTTCATTACTACTGAACATTTAGAAGGCACGACGCGGGCATACAAGAACCCGCCTGCTCGCAAGGCTTTACAAGTGCGATACAATAAGCTGCTCAATTGCACTCCCGCTCAACTGATGCCAGTGACTGCAACATTTGCGCTACACGGAGAAGTCATCTTGCGGAAGATAGCGCCACATGTATTCTTTCAACATTTTGGAAATGCGGTGAACTGTACTGCTTTCTGTTCATTTAAGACATTACACTCA